GGGACACACCAGGGAATAAAGGCCCGACCTTGGGGTACTACAGGCCATAAAGGCCTCACCTTGGACCAGACCCGACGGGCAGGCCCAAACGACAATACCGTTTGGGCCTGGCGGCACTCTTGAGGCTGCCGCCCGCCGGTTGGGGCTGAACCGTCCATCTGGACGGTTCAGGGCACAGCCAGGCTTCACAGCAGTGAGGCCGGCCTCATCCCACCGGTATAAAGAACCGGTCCGGCCTCACTTCAGGGATCGACCCACCGGCACTCTACGCGGTGCGGTAAGGTCGGCGCCAGAGCGCCGTTTGAGCGCTATTCTGAGCGCAGGAGGAAGGACAGCAGCAGCGCGAGCTAGCACAGCGGCAGCAGCGAGGACAGCAGCAGCAGCGCGGCAGCCATCACCGCCTCAGCAGCAGCAGGGCAGGTACCAGGAGGCGAGGATCTCTTCCTCCCTCCACGGTCCCGTTCCCCTCCTCACCTCCGTCTCTCTCTCTCTCCCTTTTCAGACTCCATCTTCTTCTTCATCTTCTTCTTCTTCTTCTTCTTCTTCTTCAGATTGGATACTTATACTAGTTGGACAGAGATCAGAGTTGGACTTCGGTGATATGAGACTGTGGTACTTACCTGATTGGAGACTTGGAGATTGTTGGGGTTGATACTCGGCTGCATCGTAGTTCGGAAACAGGTTACATTTGGACTCTGTACCTCCGACATTGGTGACCTATTGTCCTCGACATTTTGATCTTGTTGGATGACATTTTGGACTACCATATCGGTGACCTATCAGATTCTATCTCGGTGACTTTCAGTGCTGTCTACCTACCCCACCTCCTTCGTCTCTCCTTCCCCATTCATCTGTGTATGTTGTGTACAGGGCTGAGCACCTTCTTTGTATGGCTCAGACCCCACCATCTCACGATTGTATGTGTGTGGAGTGATGCTATGTGAGTCAGTCTATGTGAGTCAGTTCGTTTATCAGACTTCCGCTGCATACATGCTCATCCTATATTGGTTGATCTTTGGTTCTGCCCATACTCATCGAAGTATGCAACAGCTGGTGTTCAACGGTAAGGACTGGTCTGACAAGCAACTACGGGCAACTGTGTATCATAATATCCGCCTCACCATTCTGGCAGATTGGAGGAGAAAAGTCCAAAAATCTGATAACAAGATCAGAAGATACAGGTGGTTCAGAGAGACCTGGGCCCTCAGGGAAACGATGGCCTCCATTACAAAGGAGAACAGATTTGTACTAGAGACTGGCTATTTGTAGCATAATTCCAACCTGATCGCTCGGTTGACATTGTCGCAGTAGACATGCAGAGGGTTTCAGATAGTGGAGGGAGCATTCAGGCTTATCGAGCGTTCGTCTTAGTAGAGAATCCTGTCACTGTAGGCGGCACTATAGAGGTAGCACTTCATGCATGTTAGCTAGTATTTCTTTCCATTTCTTTCTATCGGTTTGCCTCTCGGGGAGTTTGTAGGAATAGGTCTATCTGGCCAAGTCATCTGTGATCCTGCAAAGGGTGGTCGAAAATTCGGTGGCCCTCGAAGACCGATGCTGGAGCAACGCTGGGCGGAGCCGGAGTTAGGTGGCGCAACTTCATGACCTAGCTTAGTGGGGGCGTGAGGCCTGGTGAAGAGATCTGGGGGGCTGTGTGCGGGGGCAGTCTCAGTGGTCATCGGGGGTCCTAACTGGAGCGATGCTGGCCGGTGCTGGAGCAAGGTGGTGCAACTCTGTAACCTAACCTGATGGGAGCATGAGGCCTGGCAAAGCAGTTCGTGCTGAAAACAGCCATGCTGTTCGTGATCGTAGTTGGATTGAATGGGTTTCACCTATCTTATTCGTGGTAGGGAGGATTTTTAACGCACATACTCTCGTGACTTGGTAGAGTTTTGAGTAGTTGCCATGAATGTGTCTGAGTTTTTCCTTCATCCATGGTTTGTTGGTTTTGGCTGCCAACGGGGATCTTAAGAATGATTTAAGATTCTGGGGACTTCTAGCAACTCATCTTAGACGACTCCATTGCTGATATACTCGGTAACCTGCGGCTGTTCGATGCCAGAACGACCCTGGCCGGTGCTGGGGTGTTGCCCTGTAACCTGCTGATGCAGGAGTGTGAGGCCTGGTAGAGAGATCTGGGGATGCTTTGGGGTGGGCATTCCACGGGACAACCAAGGGTTGCTGCTGGGACGACGCTGGCCAGAGCTGGGGCGAGTTGTGTTGATCTGTAACCCAGCAGGAAGTGGGGGTGCGAGGCCTGGAAGAGCTCGGCAGCAAGTAAGACGGCGCTGGAGATGTTTAGAAGGGTTGCTACAGGCTTGTACGCATTTTTGGGACCTGTGCTGGCATGTTTTGTTGTGGGCAGACCTTTCTTCTGAAGTTTGTCGTAGTAATTTTCAAACTAGCTCAAAATTCTCGTAAAGTTCTCTCGCTGCAGTCAAAGCCGGGAAATGGCCCCGGTTTCTCAAACTTCAAAATTCGATGTAAATTTCCATATGGGACGCTGCGCCCGGTTCCCAGCTCGTGCTGCTCCACACGAATAGATTGGAGCCTTGTCACCCCCAACTCCGCCCCCCCCCAGAAAAAAAAAAAGAAAAAAAAGAAATTGCCCTTAGTAGGCTGAGCATTAGATAGTAGTAGATAGTAAGGGACTCGTTATAACTGTTTGGAGTAGAATTAGGAGACCTAGTGCTCTCTTAGTCCATTGATTGTTAGGCTCTGTAGGCCTTGGAACAATTTCGTTTGGCGGATTGGCCTTTTGGATTGTTGGGCTTTCTAGGCCTTGGTGGCTTTTTTGTTGTGTGATTCTCAGGGTCAGGGCAGCGGTCTGGATCTGACCATATTCTGCTACTTTTTCCGGGTTGATTTGTACGAGGCATTCCGTGGTGGTTTTGCATCCTAATGGTGCTCCTACATTCAGCTACTTTTTCCGGGTTGATTTGTACGAGGCATTCCCGACCTCAGTTCACAATTTTATAATAAAGCCCTCAGGGGTCCTCCCCATTAAACAAAAAAAAGAACTCAAGGAACAGTCAGCGAGGCAGGCCACATAAGCAGCAATCTCTGTGACAAGCAGACGCGACATATCTCTGTGAACCAATCTATGGACCTTCATGACAAAACACCAAGTAAACCTTCCAGCTAATAGTGCAATCTCTGTAACAAGCAGACGCGACATATCTCTCTGTGAACCAATCAGGCCCAGCAGCGGAGAAGGTACAAAATTTCGAATTTTTCCCACTTCGGCGGTGAACTTTCCCTCCCTCTGATCACCTTCAAGAAGAACAACATTTGGAGCAAGCGATCGTGGAAGCCGATACTCACCCTCGTATGCGGAAAGAACATCAGAACGGCTGTCAAAAACAATATGGCCTAAAAGTGGCCCGTATGCTTGGCATCGTTAAAAACCTTATACAAAGACTAAGGGAAGACACGAGTCTTTTTGTTTTTTTTAATTCCTGGCGTCATCCTTGCACCTGCTCATCTTCTCTATATTGTTCCATTTGTAATGGATATCCCATGGAGGATAATGTTACAGGCTTTCACATCCATGCTCCTCTACTGAGATACGAACGCGGTCCGTCTGACCATATTAATTTCCACGTTGCAATCCCAATCCGGCCAATTGTTTACCAAATTAGTCAAGACATGTTCAAGACATCATCAAACCTCCGGCCGGGGATTGCAATGTGCAAACAACTGTGATTTATCTGCTGCTTTTCTGCATTTCTGCGTGGAACATGTCCTGATTCTTTGGCAATCTTCCACATTCTTCCAAAAAGTCAGCATTCTTCCAAAAAGTCAACTTCGAGGTATAATCATCAAACAGACGGGGCCCCACCTAATTGCGGCGAAATGGGGAAGGTGTTCAGCAGAGTTCTTCCAAGACGACGACTTGAGAGGCAAAAATTAAAATGGATGATTCTTCCAGAGCGACTGAGCCCGCACAGTTCGACTTCGAGGTATCATTCTTCCAAGAAGAGGACTTCGAGGCAAAAAATAAAATGGACAAGTATGTCAGTGCGACGGTCCAACAACAAGGATTACTTTATAGTGGGTAGGGGCTGATCCGACTTGTGTTCCGTTTTTGAGGATTGTTTGGCTTTCCCGGCCTTGTAGTTAGTATTGGTTTCGAACCAATGTTTTATTGGGTTCGACACCAATAGTAACCACAAGGCCGGTTCCAGACCTTGGATAGTACCTTGGTTCGAAGTTCGGGCCTTGTGGTTAGTATCTTGGTTCACAGTTCGGGGCGCAGGAGATCACACAGGGTGGGGACAGGCGGGCGGGCGGACCGGCGGGTGAAGAGTGCCAAAGTGACCGGGAACCAACCGGCCACGTAAGGCCGGTTCCAGACCAGAGTAGATCACGGTAGATGGGGGCTAGGATAAAATAGGGGTAGGTAGTTAGGCTTTTGGTTGGGGGGTCGGGTTAGGTAGAGGGTACCAGTAGTAGGTTGTTCTCTCACTTCATTCGGTATGGAAATTGTCGGTTGAGTTTGAATGTGTACAAGTTCTGCACCTGGAAAGTCATTCGTTGGGTTCTCTTTCCGCAGGCCCAAGACTTATAAATCTAAGCTGTCTGATGCTGTCAGTACCCCGGCTAGAATTGTGAGGTCCCCGGCCTCGTCATTTGGTAGGGGTATTGCTTCGCAGAGAGATCATCACAGAACAGAACAAAAAAAAAAAAAAAAAAAAAAGATGACAGAATCTTGAACATGCACAAAATAAAAACAACCATGCATGCACTGGGTTGTGAACCTCGAAAAGATTCACGTCCTCGACGACTGAAGACCTGCTACCTCACGTACGTGATTATGGGACTGCTGTGGGTCTGTCAAGAGCAATTTACCAAAAGAAAAAAGGTCTGTGAGAGACGTAGTGGGCAACTTCTCCAAGGCCAAAAGGTCCCACTTGCCGCCAGATGACATACACATACACATTCTGCGACTGGAAATGATGATAGCCGTCAGGCACGTGACGCGCGTGGGCAGGCAATTCCATGGTCAATTATATACACTATAATACACCATATCAAACCATCTCACCGATTCCCCTTGATGACGCACAGCCATAGAGAACTGACCTGGCACCACCCGACACTTCAAATCCAACACAATCACAAATCCCACCGTTCGACTGCAACTCAGATGGAGGACAGTAAGAACACAAAAACGTTTGTTAAGGAGGACAGTAAGAACACGAAAACGTTTGTGGAGGACACTAAGAACACAAACGTTTGTTGGGAGAGCCACTCACTCCATCTCCGGATCATGCCAGACCAGGCCTCTCATCATTCGGTAGAAAACTTCGCCGTTCCGAAACCAGCTCTTCGGCGGCATGACGCCTGAGACATCTGGACAGAAGAACAGCTGTCGCCTACAAAAGCCTATTCCCTATTCAACATCTCTCATCTCTGTGTCTTCATGTTCTGCACCGCAGCCTACCCGCGTGCAGCAATTGCCAGTGCAATCCCCGTCCGCCATGGTAGACTCCTGTACCACATACCAAAGAAAGAATCGAGCGCAAGACGATGCATCGCGACAACAAGCAGCCTAAAGTGAAACACCACGGAATGATACACTCTTTCGTTTCGAACGCAATGTATTCTGCGTTCGGATGGAGGAGTTCGTCTGCATTACACTACCAAAAACTCCGACAGTGTTTCTCAGACAACTTGATGGCCGGACACTGACATTTCCGCTTTTTCGACCAGGTACCTTGGCACCACTGCTTAACCAAAAACAAATCTTCGATCGGGAAATCACAACAACGCAGAGCCGAGACATTCTTTGTATTTTGTGGGAGGCAGCAGGGATACTGTGGTGACACATCAGTACAGAAGCCTCTACTACTGTACAGCCTTACTTGTCCTTCAAGCACGGGCTTCAACAGTGCATGCATACACATGCCTTCTGTTTCGTCGAAATTCATTCGCTACTTCATTATTCATGGCTAAGAATGAAAATGGCTTTCGCTACCTCCACCACTCTTCTGGAAACTGAAAAAAATCCAAAATCCACTACAGCCACGTCGTTCCGGAGCTAGACACGCCCAGATGCGTAATCTGTACCGGGACACCAGGACTCGCACCGTGCATTTAACTCCCTCGGGTTGCTGCAATGGAAATGTGAAATCTAGCAGCCCTCAGTGTCATCAACTACAACACAACGGCACGCCATAATCTCGGATTTCGAGTTTCGCACGAGTCCTCTCACTAGGAGAGAAAAACCCATCCATTCCCCCAGTAAGTGCTACCCACGGATAATGCCACAACTCTGCACGCAACCAACAATTTCTCACGATCCAACAAACAGTTCATTCGTTGACACCCCAACAAAATCCCTCAGTGCAAGAATTCGTTGACACCCCAACAATTTCTCAGGGGCTTTTGGACTCACCTCATGAATTACCAAACGCCCTCCCACACAGTACACAGCAGGACGCAACCGGCATGCTCGGGAAGCAAAAATCTTCTCCATGAGGACACAAGCTTTTAATAAGTGCTGCAATTGTACAAAAGACGAGACATGCTTGACATACTCTGAACAAACGTTACTCAGGATTGCTTCCGTTCATGCAGCACGCCAAATCCTGCTGCCAAAACCATACAGCTTTCCCAATCTTTTTCACCGCGGAGAGCTAGCGACGCCGGCCCTGCCATCCTACCGTCTCACCGTTGTACACCGACGATTCGGCACGGCACACCTACTCGAAGCAGAGAGGGGAGAAGCGAGATAACTATAAAACATCCAGTCAGTGCTGGATTCTCTGTCCTCATGATCCTACCAACTACAAACAGACTAAATATAGACAGCCAGCGAGGTGAAGAGAAAGAAAAGTGAGCTTCCTAACGCTTGGTGGGTGCAGCCCAGCTCTTCTACATCATGCCAATGTGCTGCCAGCCGCTGACAAAAGGATACAGTTCACAGCATCACCATCGCCATCATCGCCATGATCATATTCACACATCAATGCAAATACGTTTGCTGGTAAGCTGGTGGGGGCGGCGGCAACCCGCCACCTGAAAACTGATAAGAGTTTTGCGCTGCATACCCTTGCCCGCCCGCATACGCCGCTCCATACAGCACTTCTTGCGCACCCATAGCCGCTTCTTGAGCTCGGTAGACATACGCCGCTCCAGGCCCCACGTTGATCGGACTTCTGCTTCTCTGCAATCCATAACCGGAGGCAGCCGGAAGCCGGAGGCTCCCTGTTCTCCTGTCAAGGATACCCGTCGAATTTATGCCAGCAGTATAGCCCCTTCCACGCTCTACCGCCGCCGTGTATGCCATTTCATTGGCCTGCCCTCCTTGATAACTAGCAACAGCCGTCATCGCAGGGTAATTGTTCGCTCCACCGGAAACCTTCCCCGTCACGGTAGTGGTTACTCTAGGCCTCTTGGCCTGAGCTTTCACCGCAACAGCCTGGCGCTTTCGGTCTGACTTGGCCTTTTCCAGCTCCTGCATATGCTTGACATAAGGCGCTGAAGGTACACTACTCTCCAACTTGTAGTCGTTTATACAGCGTACAACGTTTCTCAGCGCAGCGAGCTCCTTCACAATGGCATCGTTCTACACATCGGACAAATCCAACACCAACAAGAGACTCGCACTGTTAACCAACATCACATGCAAACCTGCCACACACCCCATAGCAGAGGATGCAGCAAGCCCCAGGCTTTGACCAACCATTGCGCAAAAGATGGCTGTTTCAATACAAACCCAAAACAACATGGCAAGGTTTTCTTTTCGATGCAACTATCATCATCCTTCTCGTCTGAAGGCAGCACTGTCGCCAACCAATCCGCGATAAGCCTGAAATTGCGAAACCTCGTGTACTTCCAAGAGCAGCAGACACATGTTTTAGACCCACTCGACGCAGAAGGTGGTGGTTCACGAGTTGGGAGAACACTTTTTAACTTGTACCAGCAACAGGGCCTCTTTTCACAACGTTCATCACAGCACCAAACACGTCCAATACCAGACTTAAAAACGTGTAGAGTGGGGTACCCCGGGCTTTGGGGGTCACCAAACCCGTACATCTGGAGATAACCACCAAGAAAAGAGGTTTAATAATTCCTACAGCACAACTCAACAGAAACAGAAACACCTGACCAGAACCAAAACAACAGAGATTGTGTGAGATTTGGCAAAATAACATACTCACAACCTGTCGATGGTCAAGCACTGGAAAATAAAACAAAGCCGTTCACTGTAATTACCAGAGAAACATAGAGACGGCTTCTCTCTCTCTCTCTCTCTCTCACACACACACACACACACACACACACACACACACACACTCCAGCTTCCAACTAAATAGGTTCCCATACATAAATGATACACCACAGGCCACAAACACCTGTCCTCCCATCATTCCTACTGTGGGCCAAACATGGCCACATGGGTCCCTCACCTGCGCCTGTGGGGAGTGGTTCCCGTTCTTCAGCATAGTGTTAGCCTGCTTCCGTGCTTCCTTCAGATACGTTTTCAGCAAGCTGGAAGGATTGACCTTGTCCATGATGTCAAATTCATGTGCAAATGCGAGAGCCTCGACCTGCTTTCCTGTCTTTGCCAGTTTCTCAACCAGCTCTGGCACAGTAGACATGCAACCAGACAAGTTTCGTCAGCACGACGTCCCACTACACATACAGCAAACTCTTCCTTGCAAAAACATGTCCACCGACAAATGATGTAACTCCAAACCAAGGACAAACACGCAGATCATACTCAGAAAACAGCTACTTACCCATAGAGAGAACTTTCTCCAGCAAGTGGTCTTTCAGCAGTCCCAAAAATCATCACCATACAAGCAGTCATGATTCAACACAGCTATCCCCGACTGCAGGTTACCCCGCATAGACACCATTGAAGGCAACCACCGCACAGACCACGAAGACCGTAAAGCGAAGGAAGAATTACCCTGGTACATCTCGATGCACCAGATGGACCTACCTACTGCAGACCAACTGTGAGTATGAGAATTATACACCTCCCCCACTGTGCATGGTAGGCATTTAAATAGAACCCCGAGTGGGCAGAGCCCAGTTTGCACCGCCGGGCCTAGATCACCTACACCTTGGCGAGAGAGAGGCACATCGTACCGAAAAATCAAGGTGGCACACGAGGCCCTAACTTGAGTCGGACTTTCATCAGATGCCATTTCCACTCCAAGGAGGTAGAGGAAAGTAGTCAAGCGGTCCAATTGACCCTTCCAAGAGGAAAATAAATGTATTGTCCTCGATCTCATCAGATCGACGACAAGAAATAATTACAGCAGACCGCTCCTTGTTCACATTTTTACCCACAGGCAGGTGGGTGTGTCAAAGACGGCCACTCCACAACAAGAAATAATTATAGCAGCAGACCGCTCCTTGTTCGCATTTTTTACCACAGTCAGGTGGGTGTATCAAAGACAGCCACTCCACAACAAGAACCAAGAGGCCTACCAATGACGTGCAGAAGGTATCAACTCCCCACCTTCCTCCTTCAGCCTCTACTCAATTTTCCAGCTTACCAGGTCTTTATGATGACCGCGGAGAAGTCCGGAGATACGTGACACAGAGTTTCTCTGCGGGTCATACGCCGGGTGCGCCAGGCGCGTGAGAGACACAGACCAGTTATTCAAACTGGCACAGACCGTTCGGATAGGCATGCCAGAGGCGCACACGTAAGAACAACGAAGAACGAGAGCTTAGGCAACAGCCAACTGCCATCAAAACAAGCTTTCAGCGACAGAGTAACATTGTTCGGAGTCACAAAGACAAGCTTTCAACCACCGAGGACGGACGGTGTCATCGTTCAGAATTTGCAGGGAGAGTCGAGGATTGAATAATCCAGCCGGCATCACTCCACAAAGAACTCTCGCTGAATGGCATCCTCCACCAGAAGATCTACGAGGGCATGCGGATTCAGCGAAACAGGGGCCAACATCAATCCCCTCTCGGGCAAGGCAGACGGACGTGTGACGAAGCAAAATGCGCACACACATCATACGAAGAGGGACCACAAGTACTACATGGACCGCAAATGGAAAAAGCTGATGACCGAGCAAGTCGTCATTGCCGGAACCAACCTAGAGACCAACACCAGCAAATTGAAACACAGTTTGCTGGGCCGGAGAGATCATCAACTGTATTTTTACTACAATAAAAACTAAAATATAGCGAGAAAGGTCAGCACTCCTCGCATTACACGCTTGCTGTTGTGAATCGGTAGTCACAGCTATTACTTGTGACTTTCTTGCATCACTGACTCAGAAAAAGCAAACATGCTTGCATGCTCACGCTCCTTGAAATCGTCATGGAGCTTAAACTCACCCAACCCTACAAGGCTGACCGCCATCCCAGTTGGGAAAACCGAAAGAGTTGGGAAAACCGAAAGGAAAGAAAGAGATGGGGGGCAAAACCGAAAAGAAAGAAAGAGACGGGGGGCACGGCAGATCCAATGTCATACACATTGAGGGAGTTAAAACCACCTGATTCCATTGCCTTCGACAGTTTCTACAGTGCCTTGAAGGTGGATGCAAACTGAAGCATTCCCTACTCAGTTTCCACCGACCGAGCGTGAGTGTGGGGGACTTAGCACCGTGAGAAGGACGCTGGCTGTGTAGGCCCGAAGAGCCGTGGAGAAGGGAGTAGGGCGGAGCACGTGACGAACGTTGGGGTACACCGACCGACGGCGAACGAGTTGCAGTACTTCGAAACATGGACAGAAAGGATGATCGGCGGGGGGCAGAGCCGTCGAGGTTATGCAAAGGAAGTGAGAAATACCCCTGAATTCAGGAGATGTCCGTAGTACGTACGGCTCACATCGGTTATCCGATGAAGGCGAAAGCAGAGAGGTGTCATTCAAGGACAGGACACTTTCAACAACAAATACAAAACATACAAACGCAACCAAAACACGTGCGCATAGGAGGCCGAGAACGAAAGGGCAATAGACAAACCTGCAGGTATGGATAGAAAGAAACGATTGCACCTCCACAGGTAAGCAACAACCATCTCAGGAGATGAGAACCGGCGTGTCCAACATCAAGAGCAACGGAAGCTTACGCGTCAGTCATCCGTCTGGAGAGACTTGCTTATCATCTTTCTTCCAGCACACCATAAACTGTCCCAGCAGCGGATAGGAGATAAGATTGTCTTGTCTCCCTCCTAATCTTCCATGGACTTGCGTTGATGTACACATACTCGCGTAATGTCTAACCGGACCAAGACTCGAATGGGAGAAGACGAAAGAAAGTCGATCAAGAAACAGAAAACGTTCGCATAGGACGCGCAGAACTGCCTGCCGACATTGGACATGTCCATCCTCGGGACTGTGTGGCAACAACATGAGTTGAAACACATGTCCATCCTGGGAACTGTGTAGCAACAACATGAGTTGAAACACAACTACGAGTAAGAGAATGGGTGCAACAAAGAAAACAGGGAGAGAAGGGAAGCAGCACAAAGCCCATACACCCGGTTGCTTACTGGAGGCGCACCTGCAGCTCTCGCTGAGAAGCAAGAGACGAGTAAATAGAAGGGCGAGAGCAAGGAAAGACTCGGTTGGTGAGGAATTCAACCTACCCGTCAAATGAGACAGCAACGATTAAAAAAAGACGATGGGAACGATGAGAGGCCTAAAACAAACACGGAAGCCTCCTCGACGTAAAACTTACCATGATCAGGTGGCAGAGCTTAAGCCCTAAAAGTACTCCGGGCAGATGGGGGACGGGAGGAGATAAAAATTACACTCACCATGTGTCCCTCCGCGGCAAGACGGGCATGTTATGTCTGGGCGTACGGTTCTCACCAGAAGGTAGAACATTGCTCTGATGAAGTGACATTCCTATGCAGACCGCTCTATCATAATATTGCTGGAGTGAAGCACAAATACTATCTACCTCAGTGTTTCCTGTTCGGTAAGGGAGTTAGTAACATTCTATTGAAAAGGACAATGCGCATTATACAATAATAACTGCACAGGGGGTCGGCAATGCAGCTGATCAGCTGAGACACGCTGCCATCCTTTCCAGATTCCCAGTGCTCAGAAGTCCGGACAAGACACCCATAGTGCCTACGTCAACAAGTAATGCAGGCACGGGCGTAAGGCTGGCGGATGGTCAAAGAAAATGCACGGAAGTTTGTACAGCAACTTGTCCCCGGAAGTAATACGCGAAAACATAGATTAACACAAAGGGGACAGGAAGAAACACCGTGGAGAGGTTAAAATACCGTAGATGAATGGCATGGCGAACCAGAAGCATTTCTGAATACAGCAAAACAGCACAGAGGAAGCCACTGGCAGTTGCTGGTAGTCACGCCTTACAGATCTTGCCCGATCTCGGTCGCAAGCGAGAGCGATTTCACAAGATCAGTGCCACTGGCTGTGCATACAGTCCAACCTGTTGAAAAGAAAGTCGACACAATTGCTATAAAAAATTTCACGGAAAGGGTAGGGCGTTTTTCACGACCGACGTGGTTTCAGGGGTCAACCGCATCGTCGAGATGCTGAAAAGAAATAGGCACCCTCACCAACGAGAGTAATCGAAACCTGACGTCACATACCTCTTGAGGGGGCACGCTTTCGAAGCGGCACACGGCTGGAGACATGAACAACATGACGATCATACACGGAACGACAGTAATACCCGTGACTACCTCCCATGGGGGGCATCGCGCAAGCTCTCAAAAGCATCACGCACCTAAGCGAAAGCTTTACAGACCTACAGACGATTTCATTGGCAGCACATGTGTAGACTGCCTTCACACGAGGAACAAAACCCGAGGGGGAGAACGAGGAACACACTGATCATCGTTCTCATGACAACTCCAACCAAGTAAAATTTTGCGAGAAAACGGTTCCGTCTGTCAAACTCACAGTCGTGCGATTCCGGTGAAAGAAATCACACCCATGCTGCACAGCAGACACGGGAACAAAGGGGTACCGAATGAAGTCCTAAGGACACCGACTGGAACCACATTCGTGCGATTCTGTTGAAGGAAATCACAGCCATGCTCCTTAGCGGGCAGAGCTGCAGCAGACACGGGAACAAAGGGGTAGTGAAGGTAGGACATGATAGGAAAGTCCTGACCGCTTTCCTTCTTTCGCACCGTCTCCGTCACCGTCGTGGGCTAAAACCCCTTGACCGTGAGGATGGGGCGGAGGAGAGAGTAGCTCCGCCACCGTCGGGGGCAAAACTACTTAACTGTGAGGATGAGCCGGAGGAGAGGGCAGACAGGAAAGACAAGTATCATTAGACAGCCATAGTCATCATCCTCTTCTGTCGGGGACGTAGGCACACTACGCTATCTATACGGAACAAACTAAAGAATCCCAGTCTTCAGTGATCGTCGTGTCATTAATCAATTCCTAACGCAGTGTCGAAACATACCATTGTACCACATCGATCCAACTGAGTTGTCGAAACATACCATTGTACCACATCGATCCAACTGAGTTGGTGGTTCCCGGTCCGCTCAACATTCTACACTCATCTGGAATGCTTTATGGACCAGATACACTCCGAGAGATCCAACATTCTCAACGCAGGCAGGGCCATCCTCAGCTCCAGATACATATCAAAGAGTTATGCAATGGGGCAAGGCCCTATATATCTTACAGATTATTGAAACTCGACGGCCAGGGAACATTGGCACAAGAGCGAGTTTCCACCGCGGATTTCAGAATCCAGGTCCCTTCGGGAGACCCTCTCAAGAAACTTCCCTTCCAACGCATGTACTCTCGATTTGCGAGATAACACAGCAATATCCCTTTCCATTTTCCACTCAGAAACCCTACAGTGTTCAGAAAACGCAGCAGTTCCTCGTCAATCTTCCCTTCGCTCGTGTTGCGTGTACATCACGCAACTCATACCCCGCTTCGAGGTCTCCATACAACGCTGCTTGCCACCACAGACATGACAAAGTAGGTGGCCCTCTATTCGCATATACTCTCTTTTCTCAGTGAATGACCCATCCGCCGGTCAACAGCAGACAAAGACGGAAACCCTACTAAGACAGCAAGATAGCCGCACATGGAAAAAGTGATTACCAATCAAGAACTCCAATCAAAATGCAGCAACAAATCAGACTGACAACGACTTGGCAGCCTTGTCATTAGCTCTTACATCGAGCACGTCTAGCGGCTTTTCTTTTTCGCGACACAGAGCACGGGAACCCTGTACAATTGCAGAGCCTTGTCGTTGTTGAAGGTTATCAAAAATAAGTCAACTGTACGTTCGCTGGAAGGAGAATGAAGCCCTCTCCACACTACCCCCCCCGCCCCCCACGCCGTCACAGAGGTCGAACAGAACTTTTTTCCAGTTCAGATGAAAGGATACCCCGTCCTCTCGTGCTTTCCATCCTCTCTCTGGCATCCACGGCTTGTGAAATGACCAGATACAACCCGCCACGGCTTGAGACATGACCAGGTACGACCCCCATGATCAAACCATCAATAACCTCACTAGGAAAGACGAAAACATACGACACGACACGACACCTCGTGCGTTTTCAGTTCATTTCGGATCGCGGCTTCAGGAGAAAATGCCTCGTTAGCCGGGCACCCACACCGGTGGCGAAACCGCCTGAGCAGAGAGGCCATATCAGGAAGGGAGCGGCCCATAGGACGGAAAAGAACGCCCGGGAAAACGTGGGAAGAAGAGCGGTGGGCAGGAAAGGGTGTCTCGGAGGGTTTGAGCGTGTTTTCCCGGGGACCGGCAAAAACCCTAATTTGAACCGCGATACGACATCAAAGGACAAGCAGGCGGCAGCTGTACAAGACAAGAAATACGGTCTCAAGGGCACATACAAAATGGCAATAGCATCCACTGCCAATGTCATCACCTGCCAAGGCGATTGATCGGCTCTACTAACCCTAATCTTGATTCATGTCAGACTTTGCTGACGATGTTCGCACAGCTTCGACGATAGCTTCGACGATAGGAGAAAGCCGTTTACGAGAGCTGACAAACCATCCACCAAACTGCGACTCGGCCCATCAACCGACTCCAAGAAGTCCAACAAAAGCACAGACACATCAGGACGGCGGCGGCAAAGGCGATAATTCATCACCGCCGATCCTCTCACCTTTTGCTAGACGCCCCTCAAGCCCAAATTCAAAATGAACTGAAAAGTCTCTGCCCAATCGCCTGTGTGCTTGTAGTAAATCCGACAACATAAAGGTCTATTTGGGAGCGCCATCATTATGTTGCTGCTCGCGCTTCCTGCGTACTCTCCTGCCGGAACAACAGATCAGAGATGATAAAGGCATTTAAAATCGTTGTCATGATTGACGAACACCACCCATCCCCTGATCGAGCGCTTACATAGCGGGAGGCAATTAGCTCTGAGAACATGCTAACAACGAGCAGACCCTATCTTCCCTAGAGACGCGTGTGCGTGAGAAAGCCATCAGGACGATGTCGCCCGCTTCTTCCTCCGAAGAAGATATAAATTGGACAAGAACATGAGCCTGCAAAGATGCTGAGTCTGGACGGAGAGGGGGAGAGAGTACTCCTCCCGTGTCATTACGTTGTAGTCCCGATTCGCTCTCCGTAAAAGAGCGAAAGAAAACAAGCATCTCCCAAACCCCCGTAACATCCCAGAAAACTCCACTCTTTCATGATCGCCTACAGATCTCGGTGACCGCGACGGCAGGCCGTCTGATCGCCTCACTGCCAAGAGCCGACCTCGCGGACTAGATCCCCAAATTTGGGAAAAATGATGCGCAGGTGAGCGAGACACTCAAGAGCGCTTCGCCCAACGAGCGGCCCCTGCGACATATTTCCGGACACACCAGCGGAGAAACCACCAATTGCAGTGTCGATAACCGCCACAATGAGGAGCACGCGCGAGCAGTAATGAGCATGCTCACAATATCCTTTGCCATCCCACAGCTGCGAGAAGTTCATGAACACACGCTTTTGGCCATTTCACTCGTCTGCGCAAAGTTGCTGAAACGCGCGCGCTCTGTCCTCACATTCGCGTACAAATACAGTAATAAATAGACAGAGAAAGAGAACGAAGCTACACAGCCCGTGCATGACAGAGGCAGTAACAGATCCAGACCCGGAGCGGAAACAAAGACGCATATCAGCACAGCACGCACGGTCGTCACAAATTCCTGCTCACGGGCGTAAATGAATCCACGTACGCATCTAAAGACTCAAGAACTCAACTCCGCGGAATGCAAATTAGGGTTACGGGCCAATTCTTACGGGCCCATTCCTTCCCGCATCATGCGAACAGAAAGTCCTGAAAATACGAGCGGTGTTTCCGTATGTGGCCCACACGTAGGGCTTCACACCAGCCACTTGAGCGCCTTATAAGAGCGTTCTGGTGAGCATACAGAAAAAAAGGCTCGTAAGACGAGCAAGATAACTGTGCGCCGAACGCCCAGGACGTGAGGATGTACATAAAATGAAGTAATCGAGTGACGGTCAAGCAGGGAGGACAGGGTGGGGACGGACGGCCACAGCGTCACATTTACACAATGAACGAGGTCCGATGGTCGGAGCCTGACAGAATGACGAAGTCATGTGGGCACAGGGGGACTGAAAGCGAGGGGGAGGGAGACCGGCCAGCAGCAGCAGGTCGGGCCAGCTGTCATCAACATTGAACTAGGATGGACGGATGCCGGAAAAAGGGCGAAGGGGAGGAGGAAAGAGAGGCCGCGTCGCCGCCAAGCGAGAAAGCGGCCGAAAAAAAGATAGACTGACCTGGAATCTTCTCGGTCAAGCCGAGAGATCGGCACATGGATGGGGACTGCTTACGCCGAGCGACGAGAGTTATAAGGTTAAAAAGCTCATCGGTGGAGAATTGAGAGGCAATTCCAAAGGTTGCCACCAGCTGAAGGAAGGCCTGACAATCAAGAGCGTGAAGCTGAGAGCCTTCTTCGTTCTCGGCCATTCGAGAGCGCCATTCATCCGCAACCTCCTTTGCCGTTTTCTGCGCATTCGCAGGAACAGAGGGCTGGTTCGGACCGTTTGAAGAGGAGTCGGCCAAGGACTGAGCAAGGCATTCCAGGAGAAGGATGCAAGCTCGTCGACTGGCAGGGACAGCTGCCCCTTCTCTTCTGTTGTCATTTCTGTTGGACTGCGCGCCCCCCGTTGGGGGGTCGGGAATGAAATACCCTTCCAGTGCATCGAGCACGAGTCGGGGGGGGTCAATCGCCATCTGAAGTGCGACTGGCAACTCGGCGCGCAAGGTCGCAACGTCCTTGCGATTCTGGACTATGAACTTTCTCAGCCCTTCCCCGTCGTTCGCCTCACAGAAGGCTTTAATGGCAGGACGAACCCTCACCTCCGGTGCCGACACCTTCTTCTCCTCACCATCGTTAAACTCACTATCACCCTTTTCATTATTAGCGTCGCCCGAAGCAGTCTCCGGCACCTCCGTCTCGCCCTTTTCCGCCTCGTCGTCTCCTTCCTCTTCTTCTTTTTCGCCTTCCACTGCCGCCGCCGCCGCCGTGCTCTTGCCCGCCACTGCCGCGGCTGCAGCAGCAGCGGCTGCGGCTGCGGCTGCGGCGGCCGCCGCCGCTTTCGAAGCCGCACCATTAGCCTCCTTCTTCACAGCCTCGGCGGTGGCAGAGTTGCCAGCGGCAGCACCGCTGCCACCCTTCTTGCCGTGCGCCGCTTTGTCCGACGGCGAGGTCGATTTCTCATCCTTCTTGGCAGCCACCGCTGAATCCGCTTTTGTATCATTTGCCTTGGCAGTCGCACCGCCCGCTCCTCCTCCTCCTCCCCCTCCTTTCTGCCCTTGCAATTTCTTCCTCTCCTCCGCAATTGCAGCGAGAGCGGAGTCACGCTGCTCTTGAACTCTTGCTAGCGACGCCTTCTCCTTCGCCTGCACATTTGCCTCCCTCTTACTCAGCCTCTCTTCTGTCTGCTTAACCTTGGCTTCGAACCCTTTTTCCTTCTCCAACACCTCCACCTCCCTCTTGTTCAATTCCTCCTCTAGCTGCGCGAAGTGGTCCTCGAGATCCTTCCACTCGACCAAGAAAGTAGTCAGAAACGTTCTTTGCCCTTCGAGGTCTTCATAAGCCTTCTTCAGCTTCGCTCTGCGCGCGGGGATCTCTTCCAAACACGACCCCATTGCCTCCATCCGCTGATCACCGCCGCTGCCGCCGCCGCTGTCGCCGCCGCCAGCGGCGGCTTCAACTGACGACGACCGACACTCCTCTGAGGCCACTTCCGACGACGCCGCAACAGGTGCCTCTAGGCAAGAACGATTCAATCGGCGAGGCAAGGGGGGAGCCAGGGTGGCGATGATGCGATACGAGGCAACTCAGCCAGGGCGTCGTCTCCTCGCTCCCGCCCACCGACACCTTGTCGACCTGCAGAATGAAATCGTCCCGCCACACTGTCTACTACAACGGGCTGGCTGTGGCTAGCTAAAAAGACAAACGAGCGACGGGCACGAGATAACTCAGAGGCTTGTGATCGTTCAGCGCAATGCAGCAAGAAAAAGACGAGAAGATTCGCAGCTTAGGTCGCCGTTATGGAGTGCAAGAGGGCGGAGAGCGATCCGGTGGCCGCAACAGGTGTTCCTTTCCAAGAGGAACCGCAGCTCGAGAGGATCTTCCCTTTCAATCACTGACGCCTTAGAAGCGCGCTCGCTCACCACCAGTCGAGTCGAGCCGTGACTCGACAGACAAACGCCCACTCGACAGTCAAACGCCCACTCGACGGACAGAGACGTCTCCACCATGACCCGGGTGGCCCTCCCCTCGCGTCGCCCACTCGTTTCCCGTTCGCCTCGCCAACTACTCGCTCGTCACTTGGCAAAACGAACGCACAACAATAAGAGCCACCGCACACGTCACGCACACGCCGCACACTCGACCCTTCCCCTGGGTTCCGTCGTCACCGGTCGAAAGCAAGCAGCAGCCCGAGACCGGAACGATGGGCAGGATTTGCGCCAAGAGCCACCGCCGACTACCGTAGCTGCAACAACCCACTCGCGCATGTTGCAGACGTGTGAACTGACATACCTCCAAAAAAACTCAATTGATGTGCTTTTCTGTATCTTTGGGACAAACAGGCTAGGAACCTTGCCCCCAAAAAAACTCGATTGGCGTGCTTTTCTGTATCTTTGGAAGAGAACAGATCTAGGTTCAGGCGGTTTTTCTAACCCTCTCGGGTGTGGCGCCACGAACCTTTTCTTCTTTTCTTTTATGCCAAACTTCCATATGCCCCCAAAAACGCAGTACATTTGCAGCGTGCACCTCCAACGGCCGACTTACCCTGTCGTGCCCCTGGGGCCTCCAACTTTCCTTTAGGCCCCTGCCAGTGCGGCGTACAACTTTTCGGCAAGCCCCTGTGGCCGTTGGTGGCACTCACGGCCATTCCCCTGGCCCTGGGAGGGGACCTACCGGGGCATACTGGAAATTTGGAACAAGTATCGGTAGGGGCATATTGAGCATATTTCAGGCCCAACGCCATGGAGGGTTAGGGAACTTCAGTCATTGTCTAAGGGGTGCGACAAGGTAAGTTGGCCATCAGAGGGGCACACCGCAAATAAAACAAACATGCAGGGGCACCTCTCAATTTCACCTTCCACTATTACTCCCGTCTTCCCAAAATGAATGCATAAAAGCTATATTCCGGCCAGATACAGCCAAAATGAGGGTGCGTTGTGTTCGGGGGAAGACAGTAGTAAGGGCCTGATCCTACACTTCATTTTTACCAAAAACTTGGAAAAGTTCCTTGGAACTCGTCCCCGCGGCATTTGGTCCGTAAAAGAAGATTTGGTCCCACAAGCCGATATTTTTGGGGCTTTTCCTACACTTACGCCGAAACGTGCTGCACCACAATGCAAGAACCAATGGCGGAATACCGGGAAAAGCAAAAAGAAATCAAAACCGCCAACTTTCAGGAGGAGGGGTAGTGGGTCGGGTGCTTTTGGAAATTCGTTTGTGCAACCCGGCACAATTCGTTCTCGTGCTGCCACACAAGGGGTGGTGAGAAAAAACAGCCGGTTTAATTTTCAAGACCCTCTCGTCGAGGAAACGTGTGGGATCCTTTTTTTTTCTTGAAAGTACCTTTAGTACGAGTCGTGGGATCAAACCCTAAGCATATTGTCTACGACGTGGGCGCGGGGAACGCAGCCCTAAGGTAGCAAAAGCAATGGGACTAAGCGTGCATAAAAGAGAAAGAGAGAGAAGGGGGGGGAAGGGGCGCGCTACCAAAGAAAAAAATTGAGAGAGAAAGAAAGAGAGAGAGAGAGAGAGGTTGAATGGCAAAAATGAAATATGGGTCAAATTGCGACCGCGATCTATTTCGTGGTTGAATTTTTATTTTTTAACTTATTTATATTTTTCCTGAAAATATCACAACAGAATGTACGGGTAATTCAATTTTCAGGTTTTTTCATGCATTTTTATAAGCGCAAAAAATCACTGGAGTTTGAGTTTTTTTTCCTTGGGCTACACATCGCTGAGTGGAAAAAATTGCAAATGTGTCGAATAGGCACGACAATTCTCAAATTTTTCACATTTTTTTGATAATTTTTCACATTTTTTGCGGTCTTAATGATTGTTTCATATTTTTCTGATATTTTTCTGGAAATATCACAACCAAGTCTACGGATTCTCAAATTTTCAGATTTTTCTACAAATTATTATGAGCACAAAAAATCATAAAAATTGTCTCTTGCAAATTGCAGGACCGGACCCACTGGCACCCCTTTTGTGTAGGGGCCTAATGGAAAGCAACATTCACACGCATTTGCGTCATACCCGTTTGCAGTTCACATGCAAGGGAGTATTGGTCCTCAAACGTTGCTACCATGTCAGTTTGACGCACAATAATTGAAGATAGTCCGTAAAAATGTGGTGGACCGGCCCCCCAATAACTTTCACCCCTTTGGAACCCAATTGTGCGTCGGTCCCCCGTCACTGAAAATGTTTCATCTTCACACAAACGTCGAAGCCTACTATACCACATTCTTAGGGTAGCGAATACAAGGGACCCTTGCAAGCATAGTTACTTTCCATAATACTTGGCCTAGTTGTCGGTCGCCGAAGGAAATAGAATAGAAATGTTTCTAGTTATATGAATAGGCGCTCATGTAGTGGTCCGTACGTTTTCTAAAATCGTGGTTTGTACATGGGCACGACATCAGGGTATAAACCCTGACAAGGGTATCTGCCCGGTAATTTTAAATATCTGATATTGTTCGACCATTTGTAAAATTTTGTTTAAAGGGTCCGACTTAATGAGATTATTTTTTTGTTAAAGTTCACTCAAATCATATTTACATTGTTACCTATGTCAGGAAACTTGTGGCATGCGAGAACGACGGAGAGGACCGACGGTGTAACCTACCACTTTCCCTGTTTGGCAAAGTTGCAGGGACGAACGATCGATTGGGTTTTTCATTTAAGGATTATCCTACTTAATATAAAGATGCACGACTGCCAAGCCGCGCAATTTAGGGTTCAAGTAACTAAAAAGGATGACCACGTTGGGTTTGCGGTCGATGCGTAGGAGATATGGGTTACCTAACTTATTTTTTGGAGGTTTTGGATGGGTATGTATAAGAGGTTTTCTTCCAACATTAAGGGTATCGGGGTTGAAGCTTTAGCCTATTGAGTAAGACAATTGTCCGACCCATGCGCAGGCGACCAACTATGACTAATAGGGTCTGTCATGCTACAACCAGACAACCTATTTGGGGTGCACCCTTCAAAATAGAAGGACTTCTCTTAATATTCACAAGATAGACGCTAGCCCAATTAGACGCTAGCCCAATTATCATACGCACCAGACTCTCACACCACTGACAAAAAAATAAAGTATAAGACACGTCTATATGGGTTAGCTCCTTTTGGGGCAACCACTAGGCTAGGGCAGCTTAGCGTGACCGATTTCGGTCGCGTGATCGTTGAGACCGACTGGCTCAAAACCACCATGCGAATTTGAATGGCCTCTGTGCAAGGATGACATGAGTAAATCTTGAAGTGACACAATTTTTTTTGAGGTTTTTTTTCTATTGGGAATCGAACGTTGGTCTGCATTTCAACAAATCCCTATGGGCGCTACGAGGGCACAAAGAGTTGAAACGTGTCGTTGGGATTAGCTAACGGACAAGGGGGGGGGGAACAAGATCCAAACTCTCGAAAAAACCTCAAATTTTTAACTTTGCGACAATATTTTTTTCAGGGCTAAGATGACTTTTGTTTGCTTTGCATTTCTTTCTGCCAATAGTTTGGCACCCAAGCTATATGTATAATAATTTTTTTCGTGGAACATATTTTAAATGAAGAATCACCAAAGTCATGGTACTTTTAGTACCCCTCCCCTCGAGAGGCGAAACTTAAACTCATGACTTTTCACAAGTTGCCCCTCCTCTACCCTATACACCAAACTAACGCCTGACAGAACGGGTACCAGATATAATAAAAACAACCAATGGTAGCTGATAAATCAAGTGTGTGCAATTAGTTTTAACTGCATGAACCAGGTCAAAGATATGTTTACGTGGATGCAGTTCAAGTGAATTTTCTTTCTTTAGTTATTAGGCTCCTCTTGTTTGGACATGTGTCCAAACGACATGCATCCTCTGGCAAGGGTTGCCAGAGGTAATTGTCAAAATCCCTATTTTCAAGGGAGTCTAAGGTAACTGTCAGACTCTCATTTTTCAAAGGAGCCTGAAAATTTTAAAGCCACTTAAAAAGAGGCTAAGTACAACCCTCCCCTGGCCGTATTTATCCTTGGAAAAGGTCCAGATGCATCCAACTTCAAATGACATTAACTTTTCAACTACTTATTAAAAAATAAAAGAAAAACAAAATTGAAATATCATAGGAAAAAAAAATTATCTCATGCAATTTTGAAATAGTATAAATAAAGAAAAGGAAAATAAAAGCAAGGCAGTTGAGGAAACTACCCCACTAAGTGTGTGGTTGTCGCACAACCTCAATGAGTCCTTGATCTTGTTGCGGATCAAGGGCCCAAACTGACCCTTCTATTTTGGTTGGGGATGGAGTGATGGGCAGCACTCCTCCAGCCACTATAAAAAGGCGGTTGTCCCCCTTCTACCACAGAAAACACTCATGCTTCTCGTGTGTTGTCACACACTGGAGTGTTGCTGGAGTTGGTGGACGAGACGCTGGAGGTCAGGAGAAGGACGAGGGCTTCTATAGTTGAGGCTGGGTGCACTTTGCCCCACCCTCAGGCTAGTGTTGACCCTATGGGACAATACCTGGGTCCACTTTGATGGACCAGAGTCTGTTCCAAGTTGCGGGAACCGAAATTCTAGACCTAGTGGGACGACACCCGAGTCCATGATTTTATTAATTTAGTGGTATCCTTCCGCGCCATCGACGATGGACGACAACATGCACTCTCAGTGGGGTTATGCTACCGAAATTTCGACTCGGCGGCAACAATTATTTTGAAAGAGAACTTCTGTTTTTTTTTACGCCATGACGGCACCAACACTCTCAGTGGAGTTATGGTGCCGAAATTTTGGCTCAGAGTTCGCAATTATTTTGAAAGGGAAGTGTTGTTTTTTTCCTTACAGCACGACGCCACCAACACTTTTAGTGAGGTTGTGCTGCCCGTTTTTACGATACGGCAGTGGCAACAGTTTTTAACGGGGTTGTGCTGTTTAAATTACAACACGACGACAACGATATTTTTAGAGGGAAGTGTTGCCCGTTTTACTACACGGCGACAACGACATTTTTTTAATGGAAAAATGTCGCCGTTTGATAGCAACATGTCATTTTGGGGGGAGGGAGACGTGCTGCAAGTTTGACGGTGCGGTATCTGTAGGTCTGAGTGACGAACCGTGGTGGTGCTAGTGCGGGTTCACATCTTAACCTGGTCCAAGGCGGTACTCCAAGGCTACCGTGCAATATTATTTTTTTTTCTAGACACGACAAACGT